GTAGCAGTGCTGCCGCTGTCACTTCAATTGAAGTTTTTCACTCCACTTTAGAAATAAATTATTTATTTAACCGAATTGCTAAAATTCCTGTTAAGTAGTAAATAAGTATGGCAAAGTAACTTTTCGCTAAAAGCTACTAAAAAGATGCCTAACAAATTAAATCTCCGATCTGGCATCGGTTATTTGGAAGAAGTCATTTTCATTTTAATTTTCACATGAAAAGTTGTAAAGCGCGCAAATATGAAAGGTTTCATAATTATTTAGTAAACTTTTGACGAAAATAACAACTGTATTATATAGTATTCATACATCTTCAATTTTACACCAAAAAGGAAACATTTAAGTGAATCTGGTGACGACACTGTTGCTGTGAATCGATAATCGATTAATTATATTTTAGTGTTAATATCATCAGTGAACTGAAATTTTTGATTTTCTTTTCTCTACGTTTAAGACATTGTGATTTTAAAAAATATGAAATATGAAAATCACACTTACTTATATGTATGTATATCAAAAACCTATCAGAAACAACTCTCATTATATAATAAATAATATAATAAACAAATTTCTGCATTTAGATCTAAGAAAATGTGGCGGAATATGGTTATAAGTTTGCATAATTGATTCAGAGGTGTTCTCTTTGTATAAATTGAAATTAATCACAATGTTTAATTTCGCCAAAAACATATTTATTTAATAAATAATTTTTTTTATGTCAAACTTGTTTTCATTTTTTTATTCTTAAAACAACAAATTTTGAAGAACGAAACCGAAACTGGAACTTTATTTTGAATCGGTTTCATTCCTTGCTAAAATTTATATGTGATATCCTCGACTTTAGCAGTATCGATTTTGGGCATTAAATGAAAAAACATATTTTTAATCTTTTGAGTCCTTAGAGGCATCTGGCCGTTTACTTCTTTACGACACGCCGACTTCAATCGGGACCAAAATTTATATGTGATATTTTTGACACTGGTGTTACCGATTGAAAGGGTGAGACTGCAAAAAATCGTTAATTTAATTTTTTAAGGACCACCCTAATGTACATACACTAGGCGACAATTGAAAGTCGACACCTTGTTGTAATATAATATTCACAATTATTTTCATGAAAAATTTGTTGCATTATTTATTTATGAAAATATAGTTCATGCAATAATTTAAACTATATAAATCAAAGTTTTACACTTTTAACAAAGTTCACAAAAATTCAAAAAAGTTTCATCCAAACTTTAAACTTTTTCTTCAGAATTTTTAAAAAATTTTCGAGTATGCAGTTTTGTAGCCCGTTCAATTTTAGTCGTTGATTTTTGAGAAGTTTTTCTTTTGCGACGGATTTTTGCACTTTTTTTCCATTTTAGCATGAATTTCTTATGAAATAAGATGCGGGAGACCGTTAGCAATAAACTGTCAAAAAATCAACGCCCGTCTTTGTAAATTCCACTTCTTAAATAAAAAACACCGCAAGGCAGTCTTCAAAAAAAAAATATAACTCTCAAAAATCAACGCGATGTTGTAGCCGGTTGAAACTGGCACTTCATTGGACTAAAACTGAATGGGCTAAAAAACTGCATACTCGAAAAATTTCTAGAAACTCTGAATAAAAAGTTAAAAATTTGGATGACACTTTTTTGAATTGTTGTGAACTTTATATAAAGTGTGAAACCTTGATTTATATAGTTTATTTTATAGAATGAACCACATTTTCATAAATAATTAAAGCAAAAATTTTTTATGAAAATATTTGTGAATATAATATTAGAACAATGTGCGCACTTTCATTTGGCGCCTAGTGTATATGTATGTGTTCATACCTCCATATATTTAGTTGTTAATCCGAAATGGAAATTTCTTATTTTTTGTTCAACATTTTTTAGTTTGAAAAATTGTCTAAGTTCAATGCTTGGGAAGGCATTTTTTATGCTGGACATGCGCCTCAATACGAGAAGCATACAAGCATTGAATGCAAAACAGTTCGTAACGTTGGTTGTTGACTTTTGCATTAAGGCGATGCTATACTGTTTTTAAAATCAGATTATGATTGGTACCACTGCTATTGTCGCATAAATATGTATGTGAATGTTCGATACACTGAAATGTGGTTTGCAAAATGTGAATGTATACTTAATTTTGATTATATGCAATACCTCCTATTAACCTAAATTTACTGTTGGTAGTGTAAATATATATACTGCAGAGGCCCCGCGATGCTCAGCCTATAATCCAAATTTATTTACTACATATAACTACAATAATGCATGGCTTATCTATGAAACACAATAGGATATCTCGATGGTCCTCTGCAATAACAAAAACGAAACTCAGAACTCAAAAAACTCGTCTGCAATCCTTGCCTAATCCATGTTTATATCCTGACTAAATCTTCATAAAGCAGTCATTCGGATTTAGTAAGGATTAGATACGGATTAAATACATCAGGGTTTTTTTTTTTTGTTTGAGTTGCGTCGTTATTGCAGAAGGCCATCGGTGTAAAATTAAGTGTTGTATTATCATTCTAAATTTCACTTCATTGCCAACGTGTTGTTAAGATTGTAAATTGAGATAAATAGAAACGGAGTCGCAACATGAAGACTTTCTGCGACTGAATGCAATGCTGCAACAGATTTTCTTTCCGAACTTCATATCCAAACGAAAACGTACAGGTATCTAATTTGTCATCCTCACTCGTACAGCTAACTAATTCTATTTTCATATTAATTTTTTGTTTTAAGGCTGTTTATGCAGCTGTAGGTAGGTTAGTTAGCAGCTTAACTAGCTCAAACAGTTTGCGCAGAGCGAACATTTGCATGTAGCTCACGTCTAAACCAAAAGTGTCACTGCCACTGCCGCGACTTTACAAGAATATGAGGTACAATGCCGTTTTTATTTAATATTTGAAATTCCAAAAGGCACGTTAAATAATATTGATGTAAGTCAAAGATAAAGTGTTTACAAAATCTTTAATATAATACCTCAAACACAAAGTAAAACTATTTGCAGCAAGACAAACCGTTAATGCTGTGTTTGGAACATTGCAAGGATTAAAATTTGTATACCGCCCAATCGTCTTCAAGTAAGCTTTCCAGCAAGATAAGATAGTTGAAAACTTATGTCGCTTATGTCGGCAAGCTGGCTTTAGTATAATGCGGCATACCATTCCTTTTATTCTTTAAACAACAAGCAATTTTTTGATGAGACTCAATAATAATATTGACTTGCTAGTATCTCGCACGTTTATTTGCCAAAAGTTCGTCAACGGCTCGGCTCGTATGCTGCGAATGCCGCCTTATACTAAAGCCAGCCTTTCGAAATAAGCTACTGTTCAATACGAACACAGATGTATACTTATGTAGATGATTTAGATACATATGTTACTGCATGCATTCATACATACATATCCAGTTATTAGTTAGTTATTTAGGTAGTTATTGATTACTGAGTTTCTACGCTATTACCTTTATACTCAATTTACTTGACTGCTTAATTTCAACATCCTGAAATGGCAAACTTTTTCACGCGTGTGCATTTTGTTTTTTTTTTTATAAATTGGGGCATTACTCTGTGCAAAAAAGCTGAAATTCCGAGCATTTCACTTGCGGCAAGTCCAACCAATACTTATGCCAGACACTACCTCTGCATTTGTGCATGAAGGTCACACACTTAATGGATGGTCTACAGCGGACGCAAGTAGTGCAGAGCAAAACCACTATTTTCCCTCTTTCCGTTGAACATAGATATGCATACATATACAAACATACATATTTACACATGCATGTACAAGTACTAGTGGATTCGTGCTCTGCATGACATTATCGCCAGTGCATACGTACATACATACACATACATACAATGCCGTTAAAAATAGCACCGCGCTGCCAATACAAATATTTATTTATGGTTAAAATCAAAGACTATATACATATATCAAGGTATCCATCCAGCTGTGTACATACATAGCAGTTATGTATGAATATCCTTGTATCACATAGTTAAGTTATCAGTTCGCGTTTAATTGGAAATGTTTATTTATACATTGGTTTGACAGTTAAGTACAAGAGCTAGCAATCCAAAATGTCGAAATTCTCAAAAGCTCAAAAATATCTTGGCCGGTATATTTTGCTATGTTTAGGCTGCAATTTGCAACGTGGAACTTAAACGATCCAGTTATGAGTGCATGTACGTTGTTATTCTGCTGGCAATAACTCAGGTGAAAATTTAATGGGTCATGCTCATAACTTATTCCCGAGTGCCGCCTAAATCTGCTTCTCCATTCATGACTCCGTCGCAAAAGAATTAACTACAGAATAATATTAAAAGATAAAAAAAGAGTAACATTCAAATGAACCAGTTGCTATGTCCGCTGCTGCCTTAAATTAAAGTTATTACGCTTATCACATTTTTAGTTAACAGAAATTTACTGTGCATATGTGCATATGTATGAATCTACATGCATATATATGTATGTACATACTATGTATAGATGGGCCAGAACAAAAGACTTAAGAAGCAAACTTTTTGTTAATTTATTCAATTCCTCATTGCATACTTTTTATATATATAAGTATATGTATTTAGTACTTCGTATAAAATAGTCAAACTTGAATTTTATTAGCTAACATTATACTCACTAAAAACTTAATTTCATTATATAAAACCGATCTTTGTGTTATTTACGATTCTCTGCCGATGCAGAACATATAAAAAAAAAATAAAAATTATAACAAATATGCATATTAAATATACCGCAAGTCACTTTCTCTTAATTTCACCCTTTCTCTTTTCCACCATTGCGGACTCTTTCGTTTCAAAGAATTAAAAATGCCGAAAGTAAGTAATAAAAAATAAAGCACAAAATGTCAACATTAAGGCTACAGCATTCATACTACGTACGTAGCTCAGAGTGGGCTAGTTTTGTGTGCCGTGACTTCGGGACTTCATTTGTCTATCTATGCATTGTAAGAGACAACCAGCAGCTGGCCAGAGAAATGATATAAACTCGCCCTGATGGTCGCGCATAAGCGCAGTTCAAGTTAAGACGCGACCGAAGTTGGTTGTAGATCTTTTTTGTTTTTTGTTTTCCCCTTCACTGGTGTATTCCATGTAAATTATTATTTTAAGTGACAAAGTGACATTCGGCATAAATTCATCTCATCAAGTGATAAAATAAGTGGCAACAAATATCGAAAGAAAGAATTTTGACAACTATATATATATGTAAATATGGAGATTGTAAGTTTCGATAGTTTTTCTTTATTCTTTGGGTGTAAATATTTACGATGAATATAAAAAATAAGAAATAATTTTTTTTTGGCTGTAACCCAATTCTTTGGCTTTCATAAAAGCCGACTACTTCAACGAGTGCAAGGTTATGTTTTACAAGTACCTGTGTACCTGTGTGTCTGTGTTGATTGTGCAGCATTTGTGTGTTTGTTTAGCATTTAAATTAAAACAACAGACAAGCATGCCAGCGACCTGCCAGCGTCTAAATGCTGGGCAAGTGTTCGCTAAATCATTCTAATTGGCTTTCACTTGTCATAAATAAGTACAAACTGGCAATTAAGTTCTGGTTTTTTTGTGGGAATGATACAGATACATTTATGTATATACATACTTGGTTTAAGGCAAATAATTTTTACAGAAAGACTTTAAGAGTTACACTAAGTTTTACTTAATTTTCGAAAAAAAATTCGTAAATTACTTAAATTCGTATGTATGTATGTATGTACACAGGTTTCACGTATCTCGGAAGGAAGTTGATGCAGATGATGTACTCTTGGTTTTCAAAGCCATATGCACATACATACATAAGTATGTAGTTATTAACTGCGAAAAGCTGAACCGCTTGTTTAAGGGCGCCTTGACTCTTCGAAACGGAGTGTGTTAATATCATTTAGGAATTAAGTATTTGCCTTAAAGCTCGTGTGCTCGTGATCTTGAAGAAATGTTTTTAGCTTTTAACTAGGTACTTCAAGGATACATCATCTGTTCGCAAAGAGCAGAGCAAAGAAGCGGGAATTTGTGGGCGAATTAACTCTTGATGATTGAGATATGAGATATCGACGCATATTCATGGTCGGGAAAAATTATGCTCTATCTGAGTTAGCTTGGCTTTAATATAATATGTATATAGATCATGCCTTTCATAGTTATATCGTTATTAGGGTTGCCAGATTTTTTATGCACGAAATCAGTACGTTAGACTTTTTCTTGCTAAAAAAAAAAAAATCAGTACTTTTCAGTACACTTTTATATACAGCAAAATTATGAATGTAAGTAACAGATAATGCTTTAAAATGCCAGAGTACTTGTTTTTAACAATATTTTGGTTTAAAATGAGTTCTACAAATTTCATTTTAAAATTACTTTTAATTTGAAGTTCACTTTAAAAAATTTTAATCAGAAGCCGGTTTCTCTCTTTGCGTCAGGATGCAAACTTTATACTTAAGATCCTCTCAGTTGTTTCGTTTGAGTGTCGTATTGCAAAAAAAATAAAATCAATAAAATTACATATTTTTTCGAACTGTGGAAAAGTACCATTATCTAAGGACTGCATCTATATTTCCTCATATCTTAAATTAATTTTTTCACCTTCGCAAAAGCTGTGAAAGACTTAGAATTCGCCTAAAAGGGTATCTAACTCTATGTCTTGTATTACAATGTCAGTAAATTTTGAAAAAAAAACAATTGTAAATTATAGGCAAAAGCCATTGGAATATTATAATTTGCTGTTATTAAACTGAAAGATATTTTCGAGATAACTAACAACACTCGACAAAAAACGTCAACCTCCTTTTTAAATAATTTAAGCTCCATCGTATTATCGCAACTGGTACGTTACGACCTGGCGATGTGCCCATAAAACGATTGATCTTTTTGTTGTATTATTTTCTTGGACATATCAAATATTATTTGAAACATGTCAACTGTAATAACCTTAAGAAAATCCCAAAGTATTTTGTTTGAATTGAAAATTCAGTACAAATCAGTACAAATTTTGAAAAATCAGGACATTAGCGTTCTGATTGAAAAAATGAATGAAATCAGTACAAGAGTTGAAAAATCAGTACTGCATTGATAAAATCAGTACGTCTGGCAACCGTAATCGTTATTATATACAGTCATGTATAAAATATTAAGACTACAAAAAGATTCTTAACTTTTGACTAAAAGCCAATTTCTTCAGTCAGCCATTAACAGTAATTTTAGTTAAATTCATCTGCTATAAAGTTTTGGTATTAAGCGATTTTCCTTTCATTTTGGATTGAGAGAAGTCTGCAGTCATTAAATGAAACCAATTTTGATTTTAATAATTAATAATAATATTTAATTTATTTAATAATTAATATTTTTTTATAAATGTCTAGCTCATTATACATCTAACACCGAGCGATAGTAAATTTTAAACACAAATATCAATATATTCGCGAAACCCAGGGCCAAATATAGTAAAATTGCGTTTTTAGTTTTTCACTCTGACGTCAGTAAATCAAAAATGATTTAAAAAATTCAGAGAAATGTGCTTAGAGAAGAAATATGGGTATCAAAGAGGAAATCCTGTAGAATTAAAACAGATTCAAGCTTTTGGTGCAGAAGGGCTGGTAGATATTGAAAATGTCCTTTTAAAATGTTGCCTTGAGATTTCCCAATATTTGTTTTTGAAAAATTATATGTTAAGGAAACTCGATAACATCCTCGAATTTCGCCCATCTAACTTTATCAGCTTAAAAAATTACCTATTCATCCTTGTGAATCCAACAAATTTAATTTTTTTTTTAATTTTAAAGAAATTAATTAAGAAAAATTGCATTTGGTACTCATTTTTTATTCTACATTGCATTGGATTTTTTAAATAATTTGAAATAACAAGGTCCTTTAAAATAAATCCTGACCTCAGAGAGAAAAAATAAAAACGCAACTTTAAATAAAATTGTATTTATTATTTATTCTATGGAAGGGAGAGCTTTTCAAACAATATAGAACAATTTTTTCGATTTAAGTTCTTGAAAAGTGATGAATATCTAAATCCCGGGACTAATGCCGGGATCTCGAGATTGTGCTAATGACATCCCGGGATCGGAAAAAGTGGAAAAATTAACATCCCTACTACATACCCATTGTTTTATGTTTCTTATTCTGTAAATAATCTTGTGCAAGCCTAAAAAATGGTTACGATTGAAGATTAAAATAAAAAAATTTTGTTTTTGAAATTTCTCGTTTGAGGTAGATAATATATTTTATATGAAATTGTGCTTTTTTGAGCACTTCACAGATGCTTTTTCGTAATTGCAAAAAAAAAACCCGAAAACATCTCAGCGCACTCGGCTACAACCACAAAACGTAAATATTGAGCGGTCGAAAGCTAACATTTTCGATGCAAAAAAATGTCCAATTCTAACCGGTCAAATTTTAACCGGGGAGGTTCGGAAAATAGGCCGTCTTATTGCAGAAGGGTATTTAATTATCTGAGTACATATCGGTGTGAAGTACATATATAATTACAAACTAATTATTGCAGCATTAGAAATTAGTGCATTGAAAAATAAATATATGTATCTCGGTAACCACTGATTCAATATTCAAAACAAAAAAACTTTTGAACTTTGTAGTTCTTCAGCCCCGGCTCTCCCCCGAAGAGTGAAACTTCGTAGAAATGACTCGAAAAGATCCGCCAGCTGAGCTGTGTTTCTTTCTCAAGGGCTAGGCTTTTTCTACGCGTTTGCTGCTTTCGATTAGGGATGTTGAATGAACATCGATGCATCGATAATATCAATGTTTTGCTTCGATGCATCGAAACTTTTCCACTCGATGTATAAATCGATGTTTTTTGTCAACTGACATCTCTAATACATCGAACCGCCTGAAATTCAAAGAAAGCGCGATGCGGTTTTATAGATCACATAATTTTGTGTAATAAAGTGTATACTGCATACCCAAAAATGTTCTGAAGACTCACATTAAAAAATTCAAAATATTGATACGAATTTGTTGAATTTTTCTAAATTTTGTATAATTTGGGTAAATTATGAACAATATTTTTATAAAAAATAATAAAAAATGTGACACGTTATTAATAAAATAATCAAGACTTGAATACTTGGTTGAATCACCATAATATTTAAGTATATATGTACATCAAAATAAAAGTTTGTTAAATTGTTTGAAATTGTTTTTTTTTTTAATTATCGATGTATGTTTCGATGCATCGATGCGAGGAAAAACGTCGATGTATTTTTGCCACTGACACCCCTACTTTCAATTTACGAAACTTATCCTTTCCAACCGAACACAGCCTATTGGATTGTAATTCATTAAATATAGAGAGGCGCACTGTCTGCCTCTGGAACTCGCCCTTTCAAACCGCCTGCCCAGCACGATATCCACCCTGTGGGGAAAATCTCTAGTTATGAACTGGGGCGCTTCTAGTACATTTAGACCCAGTACTGGTTCGCGATAAATCTCTTTTGCATGCAAGCAACTGGCGAATTTAACATGGCGATGTCCTAGGAAGTGTCAATTGCCCCCCGCTGCATCGCTTTTTCGATAGTTCTGAACTAGTCCTAAATTCTATAGTTCCGAACCAGTTCTAAAATCGACAGACGAAAGAAAAAAGTATCATGATTTTTCAATCTTTTCGGTTCTTCCGTGTGCGATTTTACAATATTTTCAAAGAAACGTTTTTTCAATTTGAAATTAAATTTGTTTGAATGATTGTAAGAAATGTACGTTTACATACCCTTAGCTGTAGCTGAGTTTGCAGAGGTGCTCGCTGTTATTTCTTAGATTCCAGACGGTCCCAAGATGTTGAAATGTTACCACAAATTTTAGTTTTGTATTACCAAGCTATGAAAAAGCATCTGCGAAGCGCAGAATAGAAGCGTATTTGAACGAAAAAGCCGCCGAACACTTATCTATGTAAAGTAAACAAGACCCCCGCTGCATCCCTTATTCGATAGTTCCGAATTAGTTCTAAATTCGACAAATAAGATCTAGTTCGTTCTGCATCCCTTTTTCTATAGTTCCGAACCATTTCTAAATTCGTCACTTTAGATATGGATTTCTAGTGAAAAAACTGAAATAAATTAGTTGTTTAAAAGTACCACTTTTCTCCGATTTTGGACTGGTGGGGATTTAGTTCATATCGGACTAGTTCCTATTTGGCGATAAATGACCTAGTACGGAACTAGAAATTTGATCAACTAGTCCGCGGTTTCCCTGCAGGGCAGCGATCC